ACTCATTTCTCTCTGTCATTGTCTCTTTGCTTATTTCTCTCTTTCTCTCTCTCTCTCTCTCTCTCTCTCTCTCTCTCTCATTTTTTGCTTACCTATCTATCTCTCCCCTCACTAGGTATTTATCACACTTTCTGTCTGTCTCAACGTTTTCGTATTTTTTTTACTTTTCTGTCCTTAAAATTCTGTCTTGAAAATCCCTCGAAGATTAAACATTCTTCCCCGGCACACGGGAAACAGTCATTTTAAAAGCGATTATGATCGCTTACCAATTTAAACATCTACTTTCAGATTTTTCACTTGAGGACCTTCAACACCAGCAATAACTAAAATGGGTAGCATATTTAACTAGAAGAGAAAATAATGACATAATCAAGAAGATTCACACTTCTTCAAACAAAAAGCTTGTGGGTGGGGCGATCCCGCCTATCAATACTGCAAAAAGCGATAGCAGTTAGTGCACTTTAAAATAAAACATTTTTATAAATTTAAAGAGACAGTCACGTTAATCTCTCTCTCTCTCTCTCTTCTCTCTCTCTCTCTCTCTCTCTCTCTCTCTCTCTCCCATTCCTTCCCGAAATATGACCAAGCGTTAAATTAGGACTAAATTTCGGTTACTTGCTTTTGTTCCTCCCTTTCTCTCACACACAGATTTTGCACACACACTATCTCTCTCACATACATACACCTCCTCCCTCTCTCTCCCACTCCCCCTATATATATATATATATATATATTTCTCTCTCTCTCCTCTCGGGATGTCACATTTTGATCTCAGTGGTACTAAAATTTGGTCTCTATCATTACGATTTTTCTCCATAGTTTTTTTCCTTCACATTTAAGGTTTCCTTCCTTTTCTTGTAATTTTTTACATGTTTATGAAGTCATCCTTAAGTAAAATACGTCAAAAGGCGCTAACAGTTACTGCACTTGAGAAACTTATTTTCCTGAAAAATTGTTTTAATTTTTTTTTTATAAATTTCAACCGAGAGTGACGCTAACAAACACACACACACTTAGGGTTTAATTTCCTCGAATTGTTTTTGTCCTTACACACAGATACGCACATAAATATATACCCACACCACACACTACACGTTGTGAAACATTTTGATATCAGTGGCACTAAAACACGATCTCTATAATTAGGCCTTGTTGGGGTACCTCGAGGCGGTGTAATGGTTAGCAAGCTTGGCTCGCTAGAACAATTACGACTGAGTAGTGAGTTCGATCCTCACTGGGTGCCCCCTAATTGCGGCCTTGTGCCACAGCTATGCTTGGAAAATCACTAGAGGGAAAGGTGCGAATTTGTAAACAGTGACTGCTACTACTGATGCAAAAGTTCTTCTATGAATTGAGCACTTTGAGTCACTGGCGTGTTTATTCTGAAATAAATATGTAAAAGTTCACCTTCCTCTCTTGTCGGGAGCTGATAGCTCAAGGAAAAATCTCCGACTGATGCCACATCTAAGCTACGCTTGGAAAATCACTATAATTAGGCCTTGTTTCCATAGTTTCCTCATTTCCATCATTTCCTTTCCATCTACTATTTTCTCTCCGTCTGTATTTTGCCTATCTTTCTCTGTCTTGTTCATATTTAAGATTATCGTATTTGACGGCATATAAGACTCCCGTGTCTACAATAGCCTTCGTATTTAAGGCTTTTTTCTATTCTTGTATTTTTCCATGCTTCTGACTTGTATGTGCGGTGCAATGAATAATAACTCGGAATTATAAACTGGAGAGCCGATTTCGAATTCCAGTTCTGTTCATTAAAAACACTTGCGATCACATGCCATTGGGAAAGATACAGATTCATCTTTACTGCCAGCTACGGATTGAATAGCAGGACAATCTGGTAACCAGTCTATCACAAAAGGAAATGGCAACATAATGCGAGAAAATCGTCTGCCTCGTCAGTCATGAATGGAAAAAGACAGAAGATCACTCACGCGTGTTTCATGTATGGTACTTAACAGAACTTAAGCAACGGCGAGCTTGGTCAGTACCTAGATGGGTAACTTCTTGGGAATACCAGGTGCTGTAAGCGTAGGTGTGCTAGAGTGTAATGCATAAGGGAAAATGAAAATCGGAGAGCCGAGTTCCTTTCGGGTTCGTTATATATCACTTACGCGCAAATAAGCTATGATTCCATCTCTCCTCCTCCCATCTATGGGTTAATTAGTAAGACTTGTATCAGTAAATCTTTATTATCTCCCCCACCCAAAATCTTACAATCTACAAATATTTCTGGCTTTAAATAACCTGCAAAAGGTTGATAAGCCGTAAATTTTCATTCTTGATTGATTATTTTTGCACAGCTTATCAACCTTTTGCGCGTCCTGGGTATGACAATAAACTACATCCAGCAGAAAGACCTTTGAGTTGAAGATTGGAGATTTTCAGGGGCGTGGAACCACCCCTTAACTGCTGTTGTTACTGAGTTCACCATGACCCGGGGTGGTAGCACCTGTTAGGGTACCAGCTAAGGGCAAATCGTGAACATCCAAACAAAAATCAACAGTACATTTTTATAACAAAATGACCAACAATATATTTTATTGCAAAATGACAATCAATCCAACATTAAAAAATATGAAAATACATTTCTTATTGGAAATTTGGAAAAGGAGCAAACAAATATAAGGATCAAATTACTGGCAACCCTAAAATTGGTGAATTACAAAGATCATATTTGAGATTACCGTATTTGACGGCATATAAGAAGCCCGTGTCTACAAGACGCACCTCAGCTCAAACAGGGAAAATCAAGAAAAAATTAGCAATTAGTAAAAATATTAGTAAATGAGTATCAAAATTTTGGCTATATTTATGAGGTATTATTTTGGTTAAACAAGCCATGATTACAATTAAACGAAAAATAATATGAAAAAAGAACACGAACTTATAAAAATTTGATTACATCCAAAGGTAAGAAAACAAAATAAAAGCCTAGCAATTGTTACAATTGAGCAAAACAGTACAGTTACCATTAAAATTTGATTCATCTTCAAATCCATAAAATCTGTCGTCTTCTAGACCAGAAATTGTTGTGAAATCTTTTAAAAAGTGTGGCATTATCAGAATTTTGATACTCATTTTTAATACTACTATCATCGTCATTAAATAATACGTCATCTTCCGTTCCATCAAGAGCATTGCTAATGCCACACTTTTTAAAAGATTTCACAATTTCTGGTCTAATATTGTCCAAAGTTTGCTCCACCCATTCGCAGACTTGTGCAATGTTGGGTCTTTTTATTCTTCCTGTAAGTGTAAGGTTAGGATCAGGCATTGCCATCCACGTGTTACATTGCTCCTTCATGTTTAAATCTAAGCTAATAGTATCCCAAATAGCTAATTTCGGCCGACTATCGCGAATTTTAAACCTACATATGGCATATAAGGCGCAGGGGAATTTTAAAAGATATTTCTAGTAAAAAAAAATTGCGCCTTATATGTTGTCAAATAATGTACTTCTCACAATTTGTGTAAATCTCTTCCTATATCGTTATAACAATCGTCCTGGGTATGACGATAAAGGGCATCCAGCAACAAGAGCTCTGATCGGGTGGTTGGAGGATTTGAGGAGCATGGTACCACCTCTTAACTGCTGTTGCCCCCGAGTTCACCATGACCCGGGGTGGTAGCACCTGTTAGGGTCCCAGCTATGAGCAAATAGTGAACCACCAAATAAAAATCAGCAGCATATTTTTATAAAGAATGACAATCAATGCAACGCTAAAAGAAAAATATAAAAATACATTTTTACAATAGAATTACCAAGAATACATTTTGTGATCTACAAAATATATATATATATATATCTAAAAAACGTACCTTTTACTCTGAGAGTATAAAATTGTGTACAAAATATCTATAGTTGAAAGCATAAAATTGCGTTCGGCATTAAATAACCCATAGAGATGTCGATATACGACCAAACAAAATCAGACAACCAACAATACTTATTTATAGCAAAATGACCAACAATACATTTTATCTGTAGTTGAAGGTATACAATTGCGTTCAAAATATTTAGATTTCGGTATTAAATAACCCATAAGGATGTTGATGTGCCGCTAAACAAAATCAAACAACCAATAATACCTATTTATAGTAAAATAACCAACAATATATTTTATAGTAAAATGACCAACAATACATATTTATGGTAGAATGACCAACAATATATTTTTATAGCAAAATGACCAACAATACATTTTATAGTAAAATGACCAACAATAAACTTTATAGTAAAATACATATTTAAAGCAAAATGACCAACAATCCATTTTATAGCAAAATGACTAACAATCCATTTTATCTGTCGTTGAAGGCATAGAACTGTGCTCAAAATATATTTAGTTGAAGCCATAAAATTGTGTTCAAAATATTTATATTTTGGTATTAAATAACCCATTGAAGTGTTGATATGCAACTAAAAAATTCAACCAATTAACTCTTTGCAGATTATCTAAGGCCAGAAAATATTTTTATTTATTTATTTTTTTTTAATGGCAGCGGAAACATTGCTGGCTTTTATATGTTCATACATTTTCAACTGTCTTCTCTTCTTGACGGTGGGTATAAGGTCTTTGAATGAACCTGTTTGTTTGTTTTTTCTGGGAGGGAGGGGGTTGTTTTTGCTGTTTGCTGTTTTGCACCGCATCTTTTGTGATGATGTCTACCTAGGATATACTTAGAAAGATTCTGTAGCATCTAATTTCAAATACTAGGAGTCTTCGCTGTTATTCTGCTGTTAATGTCCAACATTCACAGACGCAGTGAAAGATTGATTTTTTATTCGTTTTCTACGGTTTATCAAGCATTTGCAGTGATACAAGTATTACTAATTAACCCATAGCTTGGGGAGATGAGAGGGATTCATACTTTTCCCAGGGGTATTTTCGCGTAAATGAATATAACAAACCCAACTGGAATTGGGACTCTTCTCTCCGCTTAACAATTCCGAGTCATTACACCACCCGCACATCCATGCTTATAGCACATGGCATTCACAAGCGGTCACCCATCTCGGTAATGGCCAGGTTCGACGTTGTTTAACTACGGTGATCATACAGAACCCGGAGTTTCAACGTGATATAGCCGTAACACTTTTAATTTTCATTGGATATGGAACTAGTGACGTCATCAAACGTGAGCGTTTGAATCATAAATAAACAAAGTGTCTCAAATCAATAGCTTTATTTACAATGCTAAAATTTTAAGTTGAATATACTTTGAAATATTTGTGTACTGAAGTCATGATGTACATGATCCTGGGTATGACGATAAACTACATCCGGCAGCAAGGCTTCTTATCAGGTGGTTTTGAGGAGCATGGAACCACCTCTTAATTGCTGATGTTCCCAGGTCCACCCTGACCCGGTGTGGTAGCACGTATAAGGGTCCCAGTTATGGAAAAATAATTAACCCCTAACTGGGGTCAAAACACTATGAAAGTCTTTAAAAAATTATAATTAAAATAGCAGCAATACATTTTTCATAGTAAGAAAATTACCAGCAATATATTTTTGTAAAATAAATTACTAATGCTTCCAAGAAAATAAAATTTCGGTATTAAATGACCCATAAAGAGTTGATATGCCGCTAAAGAAACATACTCAAATCTAAAGTAAGACTATAAATAATTTTCTAAAATTGGAAAAATCCTGTCACCAGCAAAAATATGCTGACGTCAGCAATTACGAAACACAGGGAGCATTCATTATTTCCGCACTTACCCCTAAAATAACGGAACTGTTTTTAACAGTTTATTTTTAGTCACATGTTTTTCGTTAGAATCCATCATATCCATTTATAAATTGTCCGTCCATTGAATACTGCTGCCATATTTGGTCTGCTGCTACTGTTGTATATCCCGAGATTCTTAATAAAATTCAAAGAAGGGTCTGTAATGTAATCGATTCTGACCTGGCATCTCGACTTCAGTCATTATCTCATCGACGTGATGTGGTTTCCACCTATTTTTCTACAAATATTTTCATGGCAATTGTTCTGATGACATTTCCTCTGTGGTGCCTCGACTGCGGGAATTTAAACGTGCTACTAAATTGGCAATTAGGTCTCTAGCCAGATGCAACCGTTATGTTCTCTTCTAAAAGTTTCTTTATTCACACTTCTGGAAATGTCTTACGTTTACATATTTCCCTGCCAACTACAATCTTCAAAAGATTAAACCCAACGCCAAACGCCATCTTCTGTCTTCCTGAATTCTGTTCTTTTATTGTCCTTTCTCCTCACTAAAGTCTTCTCAGTCTCTTTCACTCACAGTAACCCCTTGCATCTTAGTGGCATTATTGTCATCTTCAGTCTTCCTAAATTCTGTTCTTTTATTGTCTTTTCTCCTCACTAAAGTCTTCTCAGTCTCTTTCACTTACAGTAACCCCTTGCATCTTAGTGGCTTTATCGCCATCTTCAGTCTTCCTGAATTCTGTTTTTTTATTGTCTTTTCTCCTCACTAAAGTCTTCTCAGTCTCTTTCACTAACAATAACCCCTTGCATCTTAGTGGCTTTATCGCCATCTTATGTCTTCCTGAATTCTGTTCTTTTATTGTCCTTTCTCCTCACTTAAGTCTTCTCATTCGCTTTCACTCACAGTAACCCCTTGCGTCTTAGTGGCTTTATCGCCATCTTCAGTCTTCCTGAATTCTGTTCTTTTATTGTCTTTTCTCCTCACTAAAGTCTTCTCAGTCTCTTTCACTAACAGTAACCCCTTGCATCTTAGTGGCTTTATCGCCATCTTCTGTCTTCTTGAAACCTGTTCTTTTATTGTCCTTTATTTCATACTAAATTCTTCTTATTCTCTTTCACTCTAGTAACCCCTTGCATTTTAATGGCACTATCGCCATCTTATGTCTTCTTGAAACCTGTTCTTTTATTGTCCTTTCTGCTGACTGAAGCCTTCTCATTCTCTTTCACTCTAAGTAATCTCTTACGTCTTAGTGGCATTATTGCCTTGCTTGTGGGTGAAAACATTTTAAAGAAAGGAAAAACGATTCTGAACTTAGAATAGAAACTGTCTATATTTTTTTAGATTAAGTATTGTAACTATTTGCCCTGTTTCCATTCTTCGGACCGTTGTCCTTATATTTATCGCCACATTCACAACGTTTCGACCGTTGTACGCTCCGGCCTTTTTCAGGTGATTGGAATAGGAATATCGCTAGAACTGTCACTTTCATTTCATCCTCCGAGGCCCATGATGTCAATATCTTCTCGCACTTCTCACCTGTGGAATTCTCTTCCGATTTCTTGCTTCCCTGCCACCGACGATCTTCAAAAGTGTAAATGCAACATCAATTGCCATCTTCTGTCTTTCTGAACCCTGTTCCTTTATTGTCCTCTCCTTGAGTTCCGGAACACCATAACTTATAATAACGCTGCTTAACAAGTCAAATGCGCGTGGAACCTGCTTAACCAATGAAAATCAAACAACATAAAATAAAAATACTTGAATGTTTTTCTTTCTCCATATCTCATTCTCTGGTGGAGCTTTAATAAAAGTGAAACAAGTTAGATTTATAAACGTTTCCTATTTGTTCTGTACCCTATCTTTCTGTCCGATTCCGATCTATATTTGATCTGTATTTGAACCCAATTCAAATAGATAGATAGATAGATAGATAGATAGATAGATAGATAGATAGCTCGAATATGGATATGAGTCCGACAAAATGGTAGAATAAAGAACAAGTGGGAAACAGATCTTAATCTAACATGTTTCACCTCATTAAGTCTTCGACAGAGATCAAGATAGAAATAATAACGTATGATAAAAAGCAAAGAGACGCAGATTAATGGTATGTTGTGTTTGGCTATTGCTTATTGGTTAGATACGTGTCACGTGTAATGAAAGCCAAACACGACATACCATTAATCTTCCTCTTTTTGCTTTTTATCATTTTTTATTATATCTATCTTGATCGTTGACGAAGCTTTAATAAAGTGAAACACGTTAGATTAAGATCTTTTTCCTTTGTTTTTAATTATATATATATATATATATATATATATATATATATATATATATATATATATATATATATATATATATATCATACCTTTCCAAGGGTATTAGCATTGTATATGAATGTAATGATCTGACTGGAATTGAACTCGGCTCTGCGATTCCTTAATCCAAGCCGCTATCCATTACTCCACCGTGCCTTGGAAAAGGTATGAATCCTCTTCTTCTCCCTCCAGCTATGGGTAAAATAGCAGGACAGACTGGATTCTATAGCCTTGGATGGCAACTGGTCTAGGAGAAGGACAACTCTGAATTCAAAATCTGGGGAGGGTCGTTTGGGAACCTTGTGGCACTTAGTGCACCTGGTCTCTGTATTCGTCCCTTCAAAAGGTGTGGATGATCCTGCACGAAGCCTTCACCACTATAATTAAATCTCATGTGTCGTTGTCGGGCTGTCGGTTTCCTAGAAACTGATCTGCTTGACCCTCATACGTCGAATTCGACGGGAGAGTCGACTATATATATATATATATATATATATATATATATATATATATATTCAAACATATTTTGTTAAATATAAGCGACAACAAATGCCTGTCGAATATTTGCTTTAAATTTCGGGAGAGAATAAAGACAAAAATTGTCCAACATATGAATATTTTTATTATTATGGTGTTCCTTGATCTAAGCTTTCGGCTCATATGAGCCATCTTCAGGGTGGTTATATGGACATTTATAGAAAGATATTCACCATCAAACATGATATTCTGTAATGTTGACATTGAAGATTATTATGCAACGATAACTGTCGCGGATTAACAGACGCACGTCGTAATGATGTTATTCTATGACGACATACCATGCGAGAAAACAAAATATTAACAATAGAACCATATGTCTAGATGCAATATAATGTGCTGTGACTAGTTTGAAATGTAATTTTATTGAGTGTGGGTCATATATATATATATATATATATATATATATAGATTACCCTGGTGATCCGCGTAGGTGAAACCTAGGTAGGTTTGTCTGGCTCTTTAGGTTTACTTAGTTTGCTCTACTTAGCGTATTGAGCACATTGCTTCGTTATTTTTACTTTACTCGTGTCGGAGGTTTTTTTCTTTGAACTCTGAACTTTCATTCTAGACGATTATTTTCGCTGGAAGTACATGTTCTTAGTTCTTTCTTTCTTTTTTACCCTTTTTTTCCCTTGGGTATTGATTTGTTCCTTTACAACCTAAAACACCTAAGATTTTGCCGGACGAGTATAGTTGCTTATATTTATAAGATTATCAGTATTTATATATATATATATATATATATATATTTATGAATAAAAATGAAAATAGGAAAACTTGATTGCAGCGTTTCGTCCAATGTGGACTTTATCAAAGCAAAATACGAAAATATATTAATATAATATAATATAATAAATATAATAATATAACAAATATAATAAAATAATAAAATCGTATTCTGCTTTGATAAAGTCCACATTGGACGAAACGCGTCAGTAATTACCAGTTTTCCTATTGTCATTTTTATTCATAAATATTGTCTTCTACTGGTTAAATCGGAGAAATTTTCATATATATATATATATATATATATAAAGACAAAAGGAAAATTTAGACATTAAATTACATTACTTAGCATCTTCCATAATTTACCTTGACTTATCAGTTAGCCTGATGAATATTTATGAGCGTTCTTAAATTTTAAAATTTGGAAAAACTAACGACATTTTTATTTTTGTTAATAAAGGTACCACAAAAGATTCACTAAAACATCCAGTGACTAGACTCAAAGAGTTGTGAGTTCAGTGCCAGACCACAGCTGTGAACCAAAGACTTGGAGAGTTGAATTAAAGGGAAATAACTTATACATCCGAAAGAGCCATGGCACGTGGAACTAGAACAGTCTACCTCGGTGGACGAAACGAAGGGTTCGGTTCGAAATTCCAATCACCTGAACAAGGCCGGAGCGTACAACGGCCGAAACGTTGTGAATATGGCAATGACGATGAGGATGACAGTCCGAATAATGTAAATAATCATAATACCTCATCTCAGACATAGAGACAGATATTTCAGGCATGGCACGTGGTGCTAGAAC